ACATTCCTTTCAAATACTTGGTCCTTTGTCAATATGCTAAAACATCTCTCAATCAGCTCACCTTGGAATGTCAGGTGTCCTTTTCCTAATCTGTCTGCTGAATTTCAATGGCAGTAACCAGTCAAATTCAAATTCAAGTGGTTAAGATGCTGAACTGCAGGCTGTGGAAGGTCAGTAGTTCAGCAGTTCGAGACCCAGGTGCCGCATGACGGAGTGAGCTCCCGTCTCTAGTTCCAGCTCCTGCCAACCTAGCAGTTCGAAAGCAAGAAATTGCAAGTAGATAAATAGGTACCACTTCGGTGGGAAGGTCACAGCGTTCAGTGCGCCTTGGTGTTTAGTCATGCCGGCTACATGACCACGGAAATGTCTTCGGACAGCGCTGGCTCTTCGGCTTTGAAACGGAGATGAGCACCACAACCCTAGAGTTGGATTCGACAGGCTGAAAGAGCAAGGGAACCTTTACCTTTTTAACCAGTCAAATTCAAATTTATCCAATCCTGATCTCGGGGAAAATGAGTCCACCTAAAAGAACTAGCCCAAGATGGGCGAAGAGTGCGTCAGGTTTCCCTTCATCTCCCTGGATACCTCTGCAAACTGCTTTGCAGGGCTTCCCCCCTCCCCCCCAATTGGACTTCTGATGCATGGACTACCTGTAAGATCCTCAGCTTCCCACACGTCTTGGATCAGGTAGAATCACCCTTCAGAACCATCTTCCCTCCCTACCCTCGTCTCTTCCCCTCATCCTCCCCCCCCCCCCCCCCCCCCCCTCAGGTTTGTTTGTGCCCTTGTGTTTATTGGGAGGGAGGGGTGCGTTGTTTGTTTTAATACTCATGTATTTGTATTTGTGAGTTTAAAAGGTTTGCAGTTTTGGTCAATACAAGAACTCGTGGGCACTCAATGAAATTGCTGAGCAGTCGGGTTAGAACGGATAAAAGGAAGTACTTCTTCACCCAAAGAGTGATTAACACATGGAATTCACTGCCACAGGAAGTGGTAGCGGCTACAGGCATGGATGGCTTCAAGAGGGAACTGGATAAGCATATGGAGCAGAGGTCCATCAGTAGCTATTAGCCACAAGGTATAGATAGGAACTCTCGGACTGGGGCAAGGGATACTCTGTCATCTTGGTGCTTGGGGGGGGCACAGTGGGAGGGCTTCTGGTGTCCTGGCCCCACTGGTGGACCTCCTGATGGCACCTGGTATTTCTGGCCACTGTGTGACAGAGTGTTGGACTGGATGGGCCTTTGGCCTGAACCAACATTGGCTTCGCTTATGTACTTATCTCTAGTTGTGTGTCTGAGTGCTAGGAAATAACGATTTCATTTCGTTTGAATTGGTTGGTCTCTGTTACTCTTTTGTAACAGTTTGGTGTAGCCAGTTTGGCATATAAAAGAATGAGACAAGTATGTCATCCAGATCAAATAGAGCTGCATGTGGAGTGGGGAATCAAACCTGGTTCTCCCAGATTAGAGTCTGCACTCCTAACCACTACACCAAGGGATCAGGAGAGAAAAGTAGGAGGAAAGTGGGGAAGAAAGACTAGAAAGGAATGCAAGGGTTTTGCCTCTCCCTGGAGAGGATCTTGCCTCTCTGTGGGAGGGTCCAGGCACTGCAGGATGCTGAGATGGGGCCAGATATGGTAGCATTTTTATAGGTAGACCTATTGTGACCTAGGAGTCCATGGAGCATTGTGAGGATGGGGAGGGTGGCTTGGCTTCATTGTTTTGAAGCCGTTTGATGGCCTTATTTGGTTGAAACCAAGGGGATCCTAGGAAGACTGCAGACTACCCTTGATAACTGGCCTTCCCAAACTCTCCCACACAACATTCCGTGTCCTCCCAGATGATAATGCAGCCACCATTATCACTTCCATGATCTCTGGCTGAAGTTGAACAAGGAAGTTCCTCTTAACTCAGTTAACAAAAGTATCGCCCCTCAGAAGGGCAATTTCTTCAAGGTGGCCCATATATGTCATTTTTTCCTTACTGCATCACTTTCCAAATAATCAAATAAAACTGATGTCGAGTGCATTTGTGTAAACTGTGAATGGTCTCTGTGGGCTTTTTACCGCAGTCTCATTTTCCTCACTTGTAGTTCCTGTTTCTTCAGGGGTTTTTCCCAGTTCAGCATGTGTTTTGCTCCCTCTAATGGCCAATTCGATATTACACCTCTTTATGTCCCGCATTGGAGCTGTGGTGGCTCAAGTGGTTAACACGCTGAACTGCAGGCTGTGGAAGGTCAGTAGTTCAGCGGTTCGAGACCCGGGTGCCGCATGACGGAGTGAGCTCCCATCTCTGGTTCCAGCTCCTGCCAACCTAGCAGTTTGAAAGCAAGAAATTGGGACCACTTCGGTGGGAAGGTCACAGCGTTCCGTGCGCCTTGGTGTTTAGTCATGCCGGCCACATGACCACGGAAACGTCTTCGGACAGCGCTGGCTCTTCGGCTTTGAAACGGAGATGAGCACCGCAACCCTAGAGTTGGATTCGACTGGCTTTAGAGCAAGGGAACCTTTACCTTTACCTTTATGTCCAGCAAAAAAACCTGCTGTTTAAATCTGGAGGGAGATATGCCGGACATAAGCCGGTACAATATTGAATTGACCACTTGCAGGTTTTTCTGCAAACTTAGATTATTTCTATAAACCTGAGCTGCACTAGCACCAGATTGAATACCGGGTCAGAGTCAAGGTTCTGGTATTAACCTTTAAGGCCTTGAATGGTCAGGGGCCAACATACCTTCGGGACGGCCTCTCCTGATATACCCAAAAAGCACTATGCTCTGGGGAGCAACATTTCCTGGTGATCCCTGGCTCAAAAGACATCCAGCTGTCTTCAGCCAGAGTCGGGGCCTTTCTGGTCCCAGCCTGGTGGAACTCTCTGCCTAGTGAGATCTGTGCCCTGAGGGACTTGGTACAGTTCCACAGGGCCTGTAAGACAGAGATGTTCCACCAGGCCTAGGGTTGAGGACAGCAACGGATTACCATCTAGGCTGGCCTCCATCTTTTGCCCTCCCCACACGGGGAAGGTAAAACTGACATCAAATGCCTTGGATGAGCTTTATGTTATATTATACTGTTTTAACTGTTTTAACTGTTATTTATTTAAATTTATTGATGTATTGGCATATGCTGTGCACTGCCCTGAGCCCTCTGGGGGAGGGGGGCTTATAAACCGAACCAATCAATCAATCAGTAAAAAAAACCCTGTTCATGGACTTAATCTGTAGATTTAAGGATCCGCACTCTACAGCCCAGTTCAGAATAAGGCAAAAGAATGATAAACAAGAAGAAAACATGACGACATTGTTTAATAAAACACTATCACACACAGAGCTAACACCAAGGGGAGCCAAAGATGTAGTTCTTCAAATCTTGAATTGAGGGCAAAGATGCCCTCAATACAAGATTTCTAGAAACAATACCTTAATAATAATAGTAATAATAATATTCAGCATTTATAATAGCACTTTCAAAGCACCTCACATATAGTATAACCCTTACGCAACAGCCCTGTAAGGTAGACCAGTATTACCCTCCCCATACCACAGGTGTGGGAGGGGGTCTAAGGGATAACAGAGGGTAGCTTTCCCATAGCAACCAAGTGCATAGCAGAAGTGAGGTTGGAACTTGGAACATCCCGGCTTACAGCCGTGTTTCCTACCACATTATACCTGTTCCTACCATATGTAATATTCAGTTCCAATACAAAAGGCTTTCCCTGAGATGGAAAACAGGATCACAGGAGCAAATCTTCACCCACTAGGAGTCCATATTTTTGGAACATCAAGGACTCATTGTTTTAGACACTACTTAATGTCTCGTTTCTATAAAACCTCTGTTTTTGAGCTGGTGAATCTGCAAGGCAGAGAACAGCCTGGTTTCCATGACGTGTGAAGAAAAAAATCTGTCCTCTTAAACTAACAATTAGATTTACAGCACGGAATACGACACCATGAAATCAAGGAAAGAAAACTCAAGTGTGTAAGCCACAAAAGCAGGCAGATGAAGGAAGGGATACGTCTATGCAGAAAAATATGGCTTTGAATTTTTAACCAAGAGGGCAACGAAAATGCACAATGCAGACAGGGTATATGCCTCAAGAAGCATGGAATAATACTGAGAGCAGTTTAGAGTCCATTCAAGGACCAATAAAGAGGAGGAAACCTGTTCGACAGAGAAAAGGTTACTATGATGCAAGAAAAGTAGGAAACAACCAAATATATGGGAAAACTAAAAACAAACAAAAAACTTTCCAAACTACTTCCCACTCCTGTCAAAATCAAGCCAGAAAACATGAGAACAGAAGAAGAGCCCTGCTCGGACCAAAGCCCCATCTAGCATTCTGTTCACACAGTGGCCAATCGGTTGTCTCTAGGATGGCGGAGTCACATGAGACACGTCTTTTAGAATTTTTATCAAAGTCTAAACATCAGGCACATACACAATAAGTGGGGGGGAAATCATATTCATGACAATCTACTAGCTAAGGATACGCTTTGTAATGGGATACACCCCACCCCAGTTTGTAATGTCTCTTTAATGCGTAAAGCTTGGCCATGCTCATCTCTGTCCCCTAATTATAGCATAGAGGTCATGGATATCCATGAGTAGTGAACTGGCACACGGCTGTTGTAACTTTCTCTCATTCACACCACAAGGTCAGGCATGGGCTGGGAAATCAAAATGGTCCTGCAGCAAGACAAGCCAAGTGGCCCCTGCGGTACTAAGCAAAGCTGCCGGGGCTTGGCTCAGTTTGCTCTTAGTTGCTAACAGCCCTCCAGGGCCGTGGCCCACTGGGAAAGTTCTCTGCAAGTTAAATGGCCAATCCACCCCTGCACAATATCTGTTTCTCATTTAGGACAAAGTCTTTTAAAGAGAGAGAGAGAGAGAGAGAGAGAGAGAGAGAGAGATCTTGCAATGGAGGGAAATAAGCAGCAGAATCCCCCTCAAGAAAATCATGGTTTTGACTGTTTGGAAAAACTCTTTTCCTGCTTTTGCTGGACTTTAAATCACTCATATGATGATTTCCACTACATCTGAAATACTTTCCATGCTGTGGGTGGTTTTAGGAATCATGGGATTCTCCTCAATGTGGATTTTCTGATGGGAACTCAAGGATGAACTCCAAGCGAAACTCTTCCCACAATCTAAGCATTTATAAGGTTTCTCCCCTGTGTGCATAATCTGATGTGATTTCAGGTGAATATTCCGAGTAAAGTTCTTTCCACACACCAGGCATTTAAATGGTTTCTCCCCTGTGTGCACTCTTTGATGTCTCGTGAGGGCCGAGCTGGTACTCAAGTTCTTTCCACACTCCAGACATTTATACGGTTCCTCCCCAGTGTGGATTCTTTGATGCCCTCTGAAGACTGACTTCAGACTAAAACTCTTTCCACACTCTAAGCACTGATAGTCCGCTCCTGTGTGGATTCGTCGATGGGAGCTCAGGGATGTGCCCCAAGCAAAGCTCTTCCCACACTCTGAGCACTTATATGGTTTCTCCCCCGTGTGCATCCTTTGATGTGATTTAAGATGCATTTTCCGAGTAAAGTTCTTTCCACACACCAGGCATTCATATGGTTTCTCCCCTGTGTGAATTCTCTGATGTGCTGTCAGGTATGATTTCCAGCTGAAGCACTTGCCACATTCCAGGCACTTATAGGGCTTCTCTCCAGTGTGAACTCTCTGATGGTAAATCAGAGTTTTGTTCCAAGTGAAGCTTTTCCCACACTCAAAGCATTTATAGGGCTTCTCACCAGTGTGGATTTGTTGATGTCTTCTCAGGGCTGATCCTGTACTGCAGCCCTTTCCACATTCCGGGCACTTAAATGGCTTCTCACCTGAGTGAATTCTTTGATGGTAACCCAGAGTTTTGTTTGAAGAGAAGCTTTTCCCACACTCGAAGCATTTATATGGCTTCTCTCCTGTGTGCCTCCTTTGATGCTCTCTAAGGACCGACCTCAGACGGAAACTCTTTCCACACTCCAAGCACTGATAGTTCTCCCCTGTGTGGACTTTTTGATGTAAACTCAGGGAGGTACTCCAGGCAAAGCTCTTTCCACACTTCAGACATTTATATGGTTTCTCCCCCGTGTGCATCCTTTGATGTGAGTTCAGATGTGTCTTCCGAGTGAAGTTCTTTCCACACAGGAGGCATTTATATGGTTTCTCCCCTGTATGAATTCTTTGATGCGCAGTCAGGTACGATTGCCAACTGAAGCACTTGCCACATTCCAAGCACTTATAAGGCTTCTTGCCTGTGTGCATTCTCTGATGCCTTCTAAGGTCGGATCCTGTACTGCAGCTCTTTCCACATTCTAAGCACTTAAATGGCTTCCCATCTCTATGCATTCTTCTATGGTTAATCAGGGTTGTGTTCCAGGTGAAGAGCTTCCCACACTCCAAGCATTTATAGGGCTTCTCTCCTGTGTGCATTCGTTGATGCCCTCTAAGGACTGACTTCAAACTGAAACTCTTTCCACACTCCAAGCATTTATAGTCCTCCCCTGTGTGGATTCTCTGATGTAAACGCAGAGATGCTCTCCAAGCAAAGCTCTTTCCACACTCAGAACATTTATAGACCTCCCCTGTATGCATTCTTTGATGTGACGCGAGATGTGTGCTCCGAGTGAAGTTCTTTCCACACACAAGACATTTATATGGTTTCTCCCCTGTATGGATTCGCTGATGCCTGACAAAGGCTGAATTTGTAGTGAAGCTCTTCCCACATTCCAAGCACTTCAATGGCTCCTTGCTTTTGCGCTTTCTTGGATGGAAAATCAGGGATTTGCGCCAAGCAAACCGCTTTCCTGACTCCAACAATATGTACAGCTCCCCTCCTGCGTGCCTCCTTTGATGTTTTCTGAGGTCTGACTTCTCAGTAAAACTCTTTCCACACTCGGAGCATTTAAATGGCTTCTCCCCTGTGTGGATTCTTTGATGTGTCTGAAGCCTTGCATTGCTACACAAGCTCTTCCCACACACCAAGCATTTATATGGTTTCTCCCCCGTGTGGACTCGCCAGTGCCGATTAAGCCTTGATTTATAAGTAAAGCTTTTGTCACACAGAGGGCACTTGTGTCTTTTTGGGCTTTCGTCTTTTTTGCTTTGGGCTGGGGTTTCTTCGAAATCACCAAGCTGAGAAGGAATGGATCCAGTTGGTGTATTTATCTCAGTTTTCTGTCTCTGTTTTCCAACCTCTTGTGATCTGCCCCTTCCCCCTGGCATCCCAGATTGATCTTCCTTGGCCTCTTTCTTCCATCCATCACCTGTTGGAACAAAACAAGAAAGAACAACTCTAATATCTAGATGGTAAATGAAGCCTGAAATCAAGGAACGATTTGAATTAGCTGCAGCTGCATCAGCTGCATTGGTTGCCAGTCGAGTACCGAATCAGGTTGAGGGTTATGGTATTAACATTCAAGGCCCTATGCAGTCTGGGACGGTCATATCTACAGGATCAACTCTCCCCATATGTTCGCCGGTGAGCCTTGCGCTCCTCTGAATAGCATCTTGTGGTGACCCCTGGCCCCAAAGACATCTGCTTAGCCTCAGCCAGGGCCACGGCCTTTTCAGCTCTGGCCCCGGCCTGGTGGAAATCCTTGCCAAGTGAGATCAGGGCCCTGGGGGGCTTATATACCCCAGAGAGCACTACAGTCGGGGTCTCAAAACCGACTGGCCCTCCCAGGTCCCAAGGATGCCAGGCTGGTTACTACCAGGGCCAGGGCCTTCTCAGTGGCGGCTCCGCACTGGTGGAATGAGCTCCCAGAAGAGATCAGGGTCCTGCAGGATCTTTTCCAGTTCCACAGGGCCTGCTAGACGGCGCTCTTCCACCAGGCCTTCAACTAAGGAGCTGCCACCACCATTCCATCAACAATCGTAATTATAGAATCCTGGCCCTTGGCTTTGACATCTACCGCCTGTGCAGCCGCATATATCACTGAACAGAATATTTAGTAAGATCTTTGCTGGCACTCATGCAGTATGCCATCGCTATGTATTTAATTAGTCATCATAAGCACCTAATAATATTGAATGATTTTAACTGAACTGTTTTTAGATGATTTTATGTGGATCTTAACTGTTATTTGTGTATTTATTTATTTATTTATTGCATTTATACCCCGCCCTCCCCAATGGGCTCAGGGCGGCTTACAGGGGCAAGGTAAAAACCTTGCCATAATAAAAACATGATATACATAGTAACTTAAAAAAACATATAGTACATCTTAAAAAACATCCTGAACTTAAAACAATGGTGCTCAATAACTTCTATAAATCCAAAGATGGCAAATCATAGGTCCAAAGTTCCCAGTGGTATTTCCCACGCTGTTAACGCCCACAGGAGAACGACTTAGGGCTTCTTTACAATATTCAGATGTTTCCTCAGGGCCTCGTCAAACCATGACGGTGATGGTATAGTAGGGGCGGCGGCTCCTACTCAAAGGCCTGGCAGAAGAGCTCCGTCTTGCAGGCCCTGTGGAACTGCAAAAGGTCCCGCAGGGCCCGGATCTCCCCCGGGAGCTCATTCCACCAGGTAGGAGCCGCCACTGAAAAAGCCCTGACCCTAGTAGCAGCTAGTTTGGTGTCCTTGGGGCCCGGGATGACTAACAAATTTTGGCCCCCCGACCGTAGTGCTCTTGGGGGAACATATGGGGAAAGGCGGTATTTTTGTATAAGCCACCCTGAGCCTGCCTCGGCGGGGAGGGCAGGGTATAAATTAAACAAACAAATAAATAATGATAAATATTACAGTTCCACAGGGCCTGCGAAACGGAGTTGTTCCATCATGCCTTTGGGTGAGGCCCTTTCGTTCCATCTTAATGGTGCTCGGCGCCCATCCCCCCAATCAACTGTTCCAACTGGGCAGACATGCAGCATCCTCCGGGAGCTTCTGTAATACTTTTGCCCATCTTGTAGTTATGCCACTGGGGCTTTACATTGGATTATTGCTTGACTGTTTTTAAAATGTTTTATTCTGTGGAATTTTGTTGCAAACTGCCCTCAGCCCGCTTGTGGGGAAGGGCGGGTTGGAAACATAGTAGACTAAATAAATAAATATTCCGAGTGAAGGAAAATGTCTTCAACATAGACATCAGGAGGAACATAGATTTTACCACACATTAAACAGTTTCCGCTCGTTGCCATTAAAAGACAGCCAATACGGGGCACTGCACAGAATGCTAGATTGGAACCAGGCAGTTTCAGGTTCCACTCAGTGCTCATCCCCCAGCTTGGTATACAAAGGCCCCGGTCACACGGAAGGTTTTGGGCCGGGAGAGGGATGGATCGGGGGCGCAGCAAACGGGTGTGATTTCACCGCAACATCTGGGAAGCGGCGTGCACCCGTCCCCGATCCGGCCCTTCAGGCCGAAAATCCGCAGTTAAAATAAACCACCTACAGAGGTGGACTTAGCAGAAAGGCCGCGGCAAGCGCGGCCGTGGGATCGCCGGTGCGTCCTTCTGCCGGCGCATCCGAGGCTCCCAGCCGAACTGCGCATGCGCACACATGCGCAGCCAGCTGCCTCGGTCTCCCGTCGGTGGCTTCCTCCCCGGCATCTGATCATGCCGGGGAGCAATGGTGCGGCGGCTCAGGGGATCTGTGTGATCCCGCCGCTGCGTGTCTTTTTTGGTGTGGCTCTGAATAGCCGCACTTTGGCCGTGTTTTTACCTGCCGTGTGGCAGGGGCCAAAAAGTCTCTGGTTCAATCCCCAATATCCCTACTTTAAAGCCTTGAATTACAGAGAGGCCCTGCCAACCAGAGGAGACCACACTAAGCTATGGCTGCTTCTACATAGGGGCGATTCTTCCTGTAGTATTTATTCCCCTTGTAAATGCAGAGGCATCTGCCGTGACACAGGAGAGTCCATGTGGCATTCACTGCATTTTCCTTATCTCCTTCTCCCAAAGCTGCCAACCCCTTGCCACTGGAGGGGTTTGGGGTTGGTGGTGTAAAATCGGCAACTGACACATTGCTATAGCGTTATAATGATCTATCTACTAGCTCCGCCAAAAGTTCAGAGGAGCTAGTAGATAATTATAACGTTATAATACTATAGGGACTGCTGGTTTTAAAAAAAAGCCCAAGAAGGCCTTCTGGTGGGGAGGCTGGGAATGGCAGAGATGGGGGGAATGGGTATTGATGTGGGTGTAACCTGCAAAATGCTCACCCTCCCTTCCACATGGTGTATAGACATGGTCTGACTGTGGTCTTCCTAAAAGATCATACCAAACCAGGTTTGGGAAAGACGGCGGCAATTGAGCACAAAGGGGTGGGGTGGGGTGGGACACAGATAATGGATAATTAGGAGATGATGTCATGTGGATACGCCATTAAAAAATTTGGTCTGGAGCAAAAGCTCTGTGTAGAAGCAGCCTAGATGGACCAGAGGTAGCTTGATATATTCAATAAACACCGTTACTGGATTTCCCAACTGCTCAGAGCCAATGCTCCCTCTAAACTGTGGAGTCTTGTGAGCAAAAATCCTACTTTGTGAGCTACTGGCATTGAAGTTGTGAGTGAGCAATTTCGCTTCTGCATAAATTAGCTTGCTCTGGAGCCATCCTTCCTGAGCTGAGACAAAAATGTGTGAGCTGGAGGCTAAAAAACTGTGAGCTAGCTCACACTAACTCAGCTTAGGGGGAACACTGCTCAGAGCCAAAGGAAGTGGCTATCATTTTGTCCTGTTATAACCTCTTTCTCATAGGTGACAGATGGTTCCCAGCTGTTTCCCCTGATAAAACCCTATTCCCAGTGGGTGAGGTTTAGCCTCAGGTACACAGAGGTGACTTCCACGCCAGTTGGTTGTCCCGAGGTCCATGTTTTTGGGACACACATACCCCCGTTTCCCCAGAGCACTGTTATGTTTTCATGCACCTCCCAGTTTTTACTGTGGTCTGGCCAAAAACCTGCTTTAGTATGAACTTTTTGGAAACATCACAGCAAAGCCAGGGAGACTGCCTTGTGGGTAGGACAGTCAAGATCTCTCCCAGGACCAATCACATCAGCATCATTTTCAGTGCCCCAGTTCTGCACAGCCATTCTGCCACTCCACTGATGGGCTTTAAAAAAAAAACCCACCTGGGAACTGCTTGATTGCTATATTGCTCAGTCTCCAATCTGCCCTTTCTAGGCAAGGTAACTGAGAAATCATTTGTGGAATAGCTCCAAGTCTTTTCAGATGACACATCTGCTCTGGACTCCTTTTGGTCTGAATTCAGGCCAGGCTACTGGACGGACAGGGTTCTGGGGGCTTTAGCTGATGGTCCCTGAAGGTAGACAAAGGCTGTGCCTTGTGGAGAGACAACGCAGGGATTTGCATTTGGATGTCATCGATTTGCTGACAGCACACAACTCTTATATTTCTTTAGGGTAGAGGTCCTAAACCAATGCCTGGCTGCCATGGTTATACTCAGGGGGTTTTTTGTAGAAAAAGCCCAGCAGGAACTCATTAGCATAATAGGCCACACCCAACAACAGAAACTCATTAGCCTATCCGGCCACACCCCTGACAGCATAGCTCATTAGCATATTAGGCCACACCCCCATGTTACTAGAAGTGTGCTCATCCAGCCACACCCACCTTTTGCTTCTTATTCTGTTACCTTGTTTGTTGTCAAAACCCAGGGCTTTTTTTGTAGCAGGAACTGCTTTGCATGTTAGGCCACACACCCCTGATGTAGCCAATCCTAATGAGTTCCTGCTGTTGGGTGTGGCCTATTATGCTAATGAGTTCCTGCTGGGCGTGGCCAACTTGGGAGCCAGCCGGAACTCCGTTCCTGTGTGTTCCTGCCCCAAAATAGCCCTGGTTATACTACTAGCGTCAACAAGTTCATATCGAATCCTGATGCAACAAAGGTGATTCTGGTTGGGAAGGCTGAAATCTTGAAGGATATTGTGCTCCACTATTCAGTGGAGCAAAGTATGAGTCCTTTAAGACCAACAAAGTTTAATCCTGGGTATAAGTTTTTGTGTGCACGCACACTTCTTCAGATACAATGAAATGGAAATTACCGTCCATACACATAGGTAGAAAGTGAGCAGTAAATTAGCATACAGCTTAATGAAGGTGTTTAACAGAT